GCGGCGCAGGGGAGTTGCTAACCATTTGACGACGGGCGACAGTGTTTTTTTTATGACGGTGCAGAAGCGTCGTCCGTTTACACAGCAATTGGCATTGATTTTTACGACGGTGCGAAGGTGTTGTCCGTTTGACGCGGCGGGCAGCAGAAATCTTGGGTGACGGCGCGGAAATGCAGTTCGTTTTTACGGCGGCGGTGGTTCTTTCTTTGATGGTGTTGGTGTTATGTTGTATGCTCGACGAGGTAGCAAGGCATTGACGACGGGGGGGGTGCCACCGACCGAATTGGTGGTGTGTTTTGAGGTGGTGCGGACGTTGTGCTGTCCGCGTAATACAACGGCAACGCATTGACATTGGTGATGGTGACGTGGTGACGTTGGTGACATGTGATGGTGACGTTGGAACGTCGTCAGATTATATGGGGGTGATTGTGCATTCAGGTGGATCGCTTGCTGACGTTTTGTGGTGACGACCTTTTCATCTGGGGCATGGTTCTATACGATTTTCTTGAGTGAACCATATTCTACAACTTTAATCAAGATCAGTCAGTTGATTGACTCAGATTTCCCTTCACACCTGTGTGAACCCACACTTTGCTTGACCCTGATTTGTTTTGAACGTTCAAAAGAAAAGGTAGAGGAAAGAGTGTGTGAGTCATGCATGTGAAAGGTGAGATCTGACTAGGGTATGGGGTTGTATTGGTTTTCTTTGATCTTGTTGTTTGGTGTGGTGTGCAAGTAGGTAGAGGGATGCTTACAAAGGAGATTGATTATGCCTAATTGAGATGAAGGAATGAATTGTCTTCTTTCTACCTTTTACCTGCCTGATTGTTAAAAAAAAAAAAAAAACTCGTTGGTTTGAAAAAGATTGTTCAACGTGTGTTGTAGAATGAATACGATTGAAATAAAGTAGATGAGGTCAAATGGACTTAATCTTCCCCCAAGGAACGACCCTTTCTATCCCGAACGACCTTGTCTACCTATACCTGTCCAAATGATTCTTGTTTTTTACCTTTCCTAATTCCTTTTCGTCCCAATTACCCAGGACTTAGGATATGAGAATAACTGAAAGTTACTTGCAGTGGACACATCTTCTATCTCTAGGAAGCATCTGGGGCGGGAGGTCGTTGTTTAAGGAGCCGACCCTGTTATCGACCTAGAGTGGACCGTTCTACGGGAAGGTACTTTACCGATTCGGTGGAGACCGTCCTAGTCGACCGACGTTTTCTCCGTACCTAGGAGATCAACGCCCTAGGAACGGACGACGTTCGGGTACAATCGGCGTTGACCAAGCGTATCTATACTACAACGAACGAGCAAACGCCCTCGGCTGACCTACCTCTGTAATTGTATCTAAAAGCTTCCGCACGTGGGTCAGTAGCTCGGTAGGGATACGCCCCTAAGGGTGGTGACAACCCCTTAGGGAAGGAAAGCTTATGCCCCGCGAGAACCTATTCTGTCGTAAGGGACCGCGAGATGTACAATTGGCGCACCCTGCTAGAGTGGCGACGGAACGACACGACCCCGACCGTCTCGGCGGCTCACAGGATGTGTTACGTCGTTCCTAAGTTGTCTCTGATTTTGTTTTGTTTATCTCCTGCGTGACATAGCCGGGAGGGCTCCCGCGCTTTGCAAAAAGGAGGGGGCCGATACGCCCGAACAACAAGAATTAACGAATCTAACGATAAATTAAAAAAAATTAAAAAATTAAAAAGAAAGTTCCCCGAACTACCTTCGTTGCTCCCCCTTGTGAACAACTGTCGGCTTCTGTCACGGGAAGGAGCCCAAATCTCACTCCTAACCAACTTACTCCTAGTCTGCAAGTCGCAGGTTCAAGCCTCATCAGTCTAAAAGCGAGCGAAAATAGTGGTCGGGCTAGCCTTGGCTCCTCAAAAAGGAGTTAGCCCATGGGCAGGATAGACTCGATCCGCATACCTCCAACATATCGATTCGCACCTGTACCTACTGGGTTAGCTCCTACTTCAAATAGAAGAGGAGTAAACCAACTATAAGTAGAGGATTGGCTCAACTTAATTAGCATGTTAGTCCCAAATCTTGTTCGGGAGTAAAATCGAGCCATGTATGTCTGTCATGGCATTGTTACGGTAAGCCGATGTGTTCTTTTAGTCGCCCCGGCCGCACGGTCAGACCCATACTACTTTTTACCCAGACCTTTGGGTCCTACAGCAAAACGAACTAAAGGGTTTCCGTATATGGATGGCTTGACATCCGTGGATCCAAGTCAAACAACTAATAAATCACGGTTACTTGGTCGGATTTTTAACTAATCCCGAGTACTAATGTCGCTCCTTACGTGACTTCTACCGCCTAATTAGTTCTCCATCCTTAGTGGTAGGAAGCGATGATTATTAACCTGCGCTATCCATACGCCACGGACTTGTTGATCGCGGATTCCATCGTAGTGTCATATTAGGACAGTGTTCCCATACTACAACTCACACCGTCTCCTTTATAGCAACCCTTACGTTACCGTGCCTTCTGTAAAAACAAGGGCAAATACCCTTACAAGGGTATTTATCCGACAACGGAGAAGAAAGAAAAAGGATTGCGCTCCGTTTTGAAAAGTGTAGAAGGAATTGGACTCTGCACACTCTAGCAAGTGACTCAGGGAAGGGTAGGAATTGAAACGCTTACCCACGAAGTAAGACTGCAGGTTGATGAAGGACGGAGGTACGATGGTAGGGAGATAAAAAAGATGGAGGGGGAATAGGAAGGCTGACGGTGGGTCGAGGATGAAGATTTTTGTAATGGGTTCCTCTGCGGAGATAGGTGGGGGGGATATGACGCAAGAAAGAAGAGTGATAAGGGAGGTAAAAATAGTAGTCAGAGATTCATCGGATAGTGAAAATTCAGATTGTATGGTGATTTTGGAGGGAAAAAAGTCGAGGAGGAATGGGTCATAGATGAGGGGTTCACTGGGAGGTGAGGGCTGGGCACGGGACCTGTTAGGACTTAGCGGAGGGGAGGCAGGTGGGGAAGTGGGAGGGGTAACCTGGTTTGTGGGACGGTGGCCAGCGTGACAAGCAGAGGTGAACATGGTGGGAAGAGAGGCAGGGACTTAGGGAGACGATACTCTCACCGTAGGGATAAGGAAATGACAAATCCAAAAAAAGTTGACCAGCAAACGACTGGACCTGACGATGACCGACCACTGGCGGATGACGTGGGTTGATAGCAACTGACCAGAGGGCGACAAAAGTTTGATTACAGAGGGGCCTGTAGACTGGTAGAACAGTCCTCCGCCAAAAGGCGAGGAGAACGACTCACACTCCGTAGGACCTGACCCGTGTGATCCTATGCAGGTTTGCGTATGCGATGAGTGCTGCGAGCGGGCGCGGACTGGAGGGCGCTGCTAGAGAGACCACACAAGCTGTGGTCACAGGGCAGACCCCTGTGACTTATACTGTTTCCGTCCAAGGCATTGGTACCGCTCGGATTGGCGAGGCCGTTCTTCAACCTGGGTGAGTGTCACGTCTCTCGACAATCCCCGTAGATCTTAGCCGATGCTCTTGTGTGCCGTCGATTGTAGGAAGTTGTCTTGATGGTTGGGCAAATGTCCTGCAGAGTCGTAGATAATGAAATTGGATGGATGTGAATGCAAGTTCTATTTGAATACTCAGAACAGTTGACGACCGGAATGCCAACCGCGAGAACCGTAAGACTGGGCCCGAAGTTGTTGGAACCATTTGTTGGAACTGTCTTGGGACTCCTTAGCATATGCGGGTGGACTTGACTTGGCACAATACATTCGAATACAATGTGCACATGTTCTATTCGAAGCGCTCTTGTATTCAGGAAAAGTGGACCCACACCGTTTCGATTTCAAAATGCTCAAGACTCAAGGATCGTGGCCTCCTCAGCGTCGCACGCCGTTTCGATTTTGAAATGTCCAACTCAAAGACCATGGCTATGCTGCTGCCAGCCTCTTATTGTCGAGGTGAAGTCGTGCAGTGCGCCAATTGGTGCCGAAGCGCCCACGCAGCGTTTTTGTTTTCTTTTGGCTGGCGCCACGATCCTTTGTGGTCCAGTAGCCCCAAGTCCCCGAAGATTTCGGATGAGGCTCAACTTCGACTGCACCTTTGCCTGTGAAAGGTAGTGGTGGTGGCTGCCGAACCAATTCAATTACCTGTCAAATCTTTCTTTTTTTTTAAACAATTCAATTCCATTATAAAAGTAATCAAGAGGCCGGGGACCTCACAACTCAACCGGAGTATCTGGCAGCATCAGCCAGCTTAGCTTACAGGCAATAGCCTGCGAGTCATGCTCGAGGCATACTCAATCATACTCAGATTAACTCAAAAACAGGGCAGGGCTGAATAATATGAAGGCGCAGGAAAATAGCCAACTCTGGACAGGACGGCCTTTCAGGCCTTTTTATTATCATTATAGCATTACGGGGAACCCATAGCGAGTTCGAACCTCCAACGAGGGAACATGCGGGGGCTGCACCCGACCTGCAGGGGGGCGACACTGGCCAGGGGTCAGCCGGTAGCATCAGGACCGAGCTTCTTCGATGGGCCAGTCGCCGTGCCTCCCCTCCCATCCCCTCCCGCTACGGACATCAGCGGTCTCTGCTCGGGGGGCAAACGGCCTATGTGGCAGGCGCCAAGCTTGGCGAGGAAGGTACATGAGGCCAATTGGGATTGAACCTAGGACCTCCAGAATGCCACTTGCGTGCGTTACCAGCTGAGCTGGGCCGCTGCATTTCGTTGGCAGGGCCCTTGCAGCATCGTGGCGTCTGTCCCTGCTCTCGACAGGGAGGGCGAGGAGCACACAAGCAATCTCAGGGGACGGTCTATCGAAGTGCAGTTGACCTCCCTCTCCGAGACTGTGGGCACGCTGAAGGGGAAGATCGCTGCAGAAGTTGGTCTGCCTGCGAGCAAGCGAAAGCTCAGCAGCTGAGCGCGTTTCTTCAAGGACAAACCTCACTCTTGCGTGGTACAACATTGCACCCGGCGACATCGTTTATCTCGGAATCGAGGAGCGCGGAGGGAGGAAGAAATAGGAGGGTGGCAAAGGGGATGTGTCGTCCTGTGCTTCTCTCTCTCCCTTTTTCTCCCCGTCTCTCGATCATCTTTCTCTGTCGATAGCCATGCATTCGCCACCTCGACGGCCAGCGAGCGGCCGACCGTCGAGACCTAGTGTTCTTGAGTAATGGCAATTTATGCTTTCCTAAGAGAGCCGTTGGAGCGAAGTGCTGCTATCCGTCATCACGGCAAACTGAGGAAGGGGGGGGGGGGGGGGGGGGGGGAGAGGCGGGGTGTAGCAGGAAGTCGATGGTGATACTGACTCGGAGAAGCTTGGCGAGATGGTTTTGAAAGCCAGCCTTATCCTTGGCGTGAGTCTGGGTTTCCCGCGCAATTCTCGAGACGGTGAATCCCGTACTTCTTGCTGCCAGAATCGGCCCAACATGCGGGGCCAATGAGAGAAAAGAAGCTACGCCTTCTATCGTTTGCCCCTGCCCCCTTCTCTCACTCTCCCCGAATCTCCTCTTCCGCCTTCTCTTGCGTTTCGGCCAGGTGCACGATTCGCCGTGCGCCTCTTGCCGGAGTCGGCTGGTGCAGCTTCCTCCCTGCCTGCCCCTCTTGAGGTTCTTCTTTTCTCGTCTTCTCAACGTCCCCATCGCAGCTGGTGTTGCGCTGATCCCGACAGCGACTCGGGAAAAAGAAGATATGGCGCCCGCGATAGGAGAAATCCTGTCGCTTCCCGCTCCCCCGGGCGGGGGAGGCTCTTTGGGGAACGGAATGAAGTCCGCCGAAAACGACAAAGCAGAGCTGCGCCAGGGGTCCTCGGGGAAGGGAGGGGATGCATCGAAGCCAGCTTTGGTGGTCCCCACTTCTACCCGCGCCGTGGGCATGATCCATCCTCCTCCGGACATTCGCAGCATCGTCGACAAGACGGCGTCCTTCGTTGCCAGGCTTGGCCCGGAATTCGAGAAGCGTATTCTCGCGACGGAAAGAAACAACGTGAAATTTAACTTCCTTCTGCAGAGCGATCCCTATCACGCCTACTACTTGCACAAAGTTAACGAGTTCAAGAATGCTTTAAGCGCTCCTCAACAAGGAGCGGGTGGAGGGGCGGCGGGTGCGCAGGCAGGAGGTGCCGCTGGTGGCCAAGGAGGAGCAGGAGCGCCAAGCGCCAAGCCTGGTATAGATGGCGGTGCGGCTGCTCGCCCCGGCGATGTCAGGGGAAGTGCACCTTCAGGGGCCGTGGCTGGCGATGGTGCCGAAGAGAGTCAGGATGGGGCTACGGTTGTTGGCGCCGCCAAAACGTTAGAGCCTCCGGAAGCGGAGCAGTACACGGTTCGTCTGCCCGAAGGGTTAACTGGGCTGGATCTGGACATCATTAAGTTGACTGCCATCTTCGTGGCGCGCAATGGGAAGGCCTTTCTGACGGGCTTGACTAGCAGGGAGCACATGAACCCGCAATTCCACTTCTTGAAACCGACGCACAGTATGTTCACGTTCTTCACCGCGCTTGCTGATGCCTACTCGAAGGTGCTGATGCCTCCCAAGGGACTTGCCGAAAAGCTAAGGCGGGACAGCCAGAGTAAGACGGCCGTCTTAGAGAGGTGCTTGCGGCGGCTGGAATGGGAGAAGTCCCAGGAGAGGGCGCGGCAAAAGGCGGAGGACGAACTGGAGCAGGAGAGGTTCCAGATGGCGTTGATTGATTGGCACGACTTCTACGTCGTCGAAACGATTCAGTTCAAGGAGGAGGAAGACGAAGAGCTGCCGGCTCCGTTGACTCTGGAGGAGGTGGTCAGGCGGAGCAAGGCGTTGTCGATGGAGGATTTCACGGAAGAGGAGGTCCGCGAAGGCATGGTAGTGACGGGAAGACCAGGGGAGGACATGGCGATGGAGATGGACGAAGACGAGATGAAGATGGTGGAGGAAGGAATGAAGGCAGCGAGCATTGAGGAATCGAGGCTACCTCCTCCGCCACCTCCGTCACGACGTCCGCGTCCTCCTCCGGCGCCGCTGGTGGCTGGCAAAGATCAAGACGAGCAGTCGCCGATGGAAGTGGATGGGGTAGCACCAGGGGAGGAAGAGGAGGACAGGGAGGAAGGGGAAGAAGAAGAGGAGGAAGAAGGGGAAGAAGAGGAAGACGAGGAAGAGGAGGAGGAGGAAGAGGAGAACGAAGACGACGAGGAGGAGAAGAAGAAGAAGAAGAAGGAAGCAGAAGCAGAAGCAGCCGCTGCGGCGGAGGAACAGCAATCGCAACAACCGCGTAAGCCTGAGGACGCAAAGGTGCATGTTGCTGAGGATGCCATAGATGGCGACGATAGGCCAATCAAGATCGTGTACAACTATAAGAGGCCGGAAGAGAGGGCGACGGCGGAGAAGGATCCAACCAAATATGTTATCTCTGCAATCACCGGGGAAACGATTCCAATATCCGAGATGGCTGAGCACATCCGTATCTCCTTGATCGATCCAAAGTACAAGGAGCAGAAGGAGAGGATGATGGCCAAGCTGAGGGAGACGACGCTGGCATCGGACGAAGAAATCAGCAAGAACATCGTAGGGCTGGCGAAGACGAGGCCTGACATCTTCGGGACCACGGAGGAGGAGGTGTCCAGTGCGGTGAAGGCGGAATTGGAGAAGAAGAAGGAGGAGCCCAAGCAGGTTATCTGGGATGGGCATACGGGGAGTATATCGAGGACGGCGAATGCGGCAATGGGGCAGGCATTGTCGCTGGAAGATCAGATCGCACAGGCAAACAGGGAGAAGGCGAACGTGGGGCCGGATGGGCGGCCGTTGCCAGGACCGGCGGCGCCTCCGCCGCCGAAACTGGCACCGCCGCCGTCGCGACCGCTTCCGCCGCCGCCAGGCATCTCGCTCAACATTCCCCGCCCGCCGACTATGTCGTCGCAGAATCACCCGCCGCCGGTCATGTTACCCGTCGTCGGAATGGGAAATATGAACGTCGTTCGCCCGCCGTTGATGCCGCCGCCGCTCGCGCGCCCGCCTACCCCTGTTCTTGCGACACCCCCCCCAACTGTGGTGAATCCCACTCCGTTAATTCGCACGCCGCCAATGGCGCCCCCGCCCCCGCCGGGGGCGGCGGCCGCACTCAGCGCCGCACAGATGCAGTTCTCTTCCTTGGCCGCTGTCCACGTGGCGGCCGGAAGGCCTCCGCCGCCACCACCATTCGTCGCTGGCGGCGGTCCATTGGCTCCGCCTCCTGCCCCCGCGCCTCTCCCCACCGTCCCACCTCCCCCTCCGCCGCTCCCGCCCCTTCCCCCTTCTTCCGACGAGCCAATGATCCCCCCTCTCCCAGAGGACAATCCCCCTCCTCCCCCCGACGAACCCGAGCCGAAGAGGCAGAAGCTGGAGGAAATACAACTTGTGCCGGAGGAGCAGTTTCTCGCAGATCACTCGGTGCGCTCGGCGATACTTTCCCCTTCCCTCCTCGTTCCTTGGTTCCAAATCCCCCAGCAATCAGCCCTCAACTCTCTTCCTTCCTCTTCACAGCTCTCTTCCTTCCCGTTCATTTCTTGTCCGACTTTCGCGCCTATCATCGCAGTGAGTTCTTGACCTTAGTGCCGCCGTTGTCGTTCCCGCAGCATGCTATCCATCAATACATCCATCCATCCATCCATCCATTCATTCGGCGACCTACCTGCAATATTTCTGTTATCGTAATCCATTCAATCATCCACTCAATCCGTCTAACCGACTATCGATCTATCAATCAACACGTCTTGTCTTCCTGTCCCTGTATATATTAATGCATGTTTTCATGGTATGTATATCAGCGTATGTATGTATCCATATATATTTCGGTGCATGTTCATGTACACATATATGAGGGTTCAGTCTCCCCTGACGAGTCGCTGGAACTCCGATGACACAGTCTGTGTCACAGCCCCTTGTTGGTCGTCTCTTCTCCCTCTTCCGCCTTACGGTTGGTTCACCGGGCGGTTCTGTATGACGGGATCCCACTCACCCTTGCTGGTTGTTTTTCCCTTTTTGCGCCGAAACTTCGCCTCGGGCAACTGCCTGCGATACTGTAACGGCACAGTCGATCATAGTGTTATGTATGCTATCATCCACAGTCCACTACCATATTGCTCGACCGAACCAACCAGATTGGAATCGAAAATCTACCGCTCAACCTACGTCCACGTGGGCGGCCTTGTACGCAAGAGGTTTTGAACAGGGGGAGTTATAAGGAAGAAGATATAAAAAAACGAATTCGTACTTTTTTTTCTTTTTTTCCGCTTTTGCGCTCTCATATTCATGTGATGATATGTATTTATATGTATGTGCCAGAAGGAAGAAGAGTGGTAAAGTCTCAACGGTCTGGATTACTACAGTAATTAAAAAGCCAAGTGTGATCGTTATTGTGTCCGCACTAAAGAAATTCGTCAAAGTCTTCCAATTAGTATTGTCGGGGAAAAAAAAAAAAGGGCAAAGGGTTTCCTCTGCCATTCGAGACCCCTTGTAAAGGATGTGCCTCCAACATACCCCTACCCGCCGCTCCGTCAACGATTGAAGGTGGCGGATGGGGGCTAGTCTCCTCCTTGTAGGGAAAATAAAAGCATCCTCTGCGCTCCTCAAGGCAGGGTCCATGTTCCAGACTTTTGCTTATATCCTCGTAGCAACAATGCAATGAACGTGGTCGGCAATCCTTTCATCAAACGAAAGGAAAGGACTCGGTACGGATCCTTGCAGATAATTTTTTTTTTTTGTTTTTTGCCGAGGGTTTTGTGTATTTGACGGCGCGTACCTAGCCTTTTTTCCGGTTGCTGTGCGTTGTCTCTCCCCGCCACCGAGCTTCGCTCGATGTTGGTGTGGGGAGGAGGAGCAATCAGCAAGCGTTGGCATTCCTGGTGAGGTCTCCTACCGTCTTCACCCGAATATAACGCCCGGTCATTATAGGTGTATTTTTTGGGCATTTTTCAGTCCAGATGCAGTGACAATGACCGGGCGTTTTAATCGGGTGAAGAGGGGTAGTTGTTTGGCACGAAGGGGCACGGGATATGTCTTGTATAGCCGCGTTCAGGGGAGTCGTAATTATGATGAGAGCAGGGCCTAACTTCTGGAATTGAATGCATGTTGTGGTGGGATGTGGAGATTTGGCTGACTGTCAAGGTTTCATGTTCTTGTTGGATTGGTTCGTTTCTATGTGCGTGTGATTGGCAGGGCCCTTGCAGCATCGTGGTGTCTGTGCCTGCTCTCGACAGGGAGGGCGAGGAGCACACAAGCAATCTCAAGGGGCAGTCCATCGAGGTGCAGCTGACCTCCCTCTCCGAGACTGTGGGCACGCTGAAGGGGAAGATCGCTGCAGAGCTTGGTCTGCCTGCGAGCAAGCAAAAGCTCAGCAGCCGTGGGGGTTTCTTCAAGGACAACCTCACTCTGGCTTACTACAACGTTGCACCCGGCGATATCGTTTATCTTGGAATCAAGGAGCGCGGAGGGAGGAAGAAATAGGAGGGTTCCAATGGTCTTGCAGGTGGAAGATTGGCGAAGGCGATGTGTGGGGATGTGTCGTCCTGTGCTTCTCTCTCTCTCCCTTTTTCTCCCCGTCTCTCGATCATCTTTCTCTGTCGATAGCCATGCATTCGCCACCTCGACGGCCAGCGAGCGGCCGACCGTC